TGGGAGCCTCAGGGCCTATAGAGGCCATAAGGGCATGACCCCAGGTGCACTGGGGACCAGTAAAGGCCTGGCACTGGGGGTGCTGCCCGACTGCCAGCTGGCAGGGAGAGAGGCCCCAGCACGGTGCGAACGCCCTTCCTACCTGTGCTTGTTCCTCAGTTCGTGCCACGTTTTTTATTATTACTCTTATTTATTAATTATTCCATGGGCGCTGCAGAGCTTCCTGAGCTTCCTGGCTCGGGGGCAGCAGTTCCCTGTGGCTGGGAGCTTATTTACTGTCAGTTTTACTGGGATGTAATAATTGCTGGCAATATTTTTTGTGAGCGCACCGCTCGCTATAAATAGACTATCAACACGGGAACTTGCTAATTATTCCCATCCCTCTGTGTCATCCCTTATTAGTCTGTCTCTTCACGTCGACCTGCCACTTGCACCAGCTTGCTGCTCTCCACCGGCGCCCTGAACCTGTGTTTGGGCACGAGGCCGCGATCCCCCAAAACGGCGAGCCCCCTGCTCCAAGCGCCCCGTTTCCCACGTCCTTAAGACCCGTGTTTAACACTAGATGGTGGTATCTTCATGAAGCTTCGGCCTGAGGATCAGCAGCTGCTAGACACTGCACAAAAACTCCCTGGAAAAGCCAAGGTGAGATACTGGTGGTTTGAAAGAGCCGCTTCAGGGATGATGTGACAGGTACAAGCCCGTTGGTGAGGGATTCCTGTGCTTGCAAGGAAGGGCGCAAGCAGCCCCCAAACCTCCCCTGCACCCCAGGAGAGGCTGCAATCGAGATGTGCAGGAGGGAGGAAAAGCAGAAGGGCAACGGGGAAAACCCCAGTGGCTTCTCGGGGATCTCAGAGGGACGAGCCCTGGGCGGGTTTTAATTGCCCAGCTGAGGATTTTGCTTTGGCTCCTGTGCTATACGGAGGATTTGGGAGATTTGAGCTGGGGCAGAGTGAGTATTAATTTGGATTATTGGGATATTAGCTTGAATATTAGCTGCCTTACAGGGGATAAGTCGGGCAGGGCTCGGGGGCACCGCAGACGCACAAATACCCAGCAGCCTCCGCGTTAAAGCACTGAAGAGTTGCTAGAGAAAGGTGGGGGGAAACCGAATCCCAGAAAAGGCACCTGCCTCACCCAGCGCAGCGCAGAGAGGAGCCAACACTCACCCGTTGTGAGGCCACCCTTGGCCTTCATAATCGTCTCCTGTGCTTTTCAGAGCTAAATTTAAACCCTGGGTTTGCGCAGTGGCTGTCTGTAATTCACTGCTGCTTTGTTTCCTGCCTCGCTGCCCTCGCTGCCGTGCAGAAGTTTCGCTCTTAGCACAAAAACTGAAGGGGAAATTCCCTACCCCAAAGTTTGCTGCTGCTAAACTTTTTTCAGCTGCAACTCGCCGAGCCCGATGTCGTGCTGTGGCTACCCAGCTGGGGAAAGGAGGGCCCCCCACCAAAGTAAGTGTGCTTCTGTGGAAAACGGAGCTTTTGTGGCTTCGCAGGGTCCACGCCAGGCTGTGTTGTGGGAGACGGGGTGGGGACGGGCTTTTCCCTGCGTTAAATCAGCCCCATTCTCTGGCGCCAAGGGAAAACACGGCTGAAGGCAGGTCCTGCCCTTCCGAGTTGATCGGTGAACCCCGAGCATCTGATTTCCCCAGGATTTTTGTGTTCTCAGATTGCTTCTTTTAATTGCAATCTGTGAAATGCTTTTCAGGTTATGCAGGAGATTAAAATCTCCTGGTGCACCGTCCTCCTAGTGTCAAAAAGCAATTTGGGGGAAATGAAGAAGCAGTTAACTACTGAAAAAAACAGCAGGGATCATACAAAATCAATACAGCCTTGCTTGGGAGTGACAGCTCCAAATCACACACTTCTTAATAATTAATTGGCATAATTATATATAACTCTCAGACAAAATATATCCTCTTAATCTTTAATTTGATAAGTTAGCTATGGAGTTAGCTGCTTTGGAGGGTGCAAAACATTTATCCTTGGTTTTTAAGAATCAGTGGGACCCAAACAGCCAAAAATACGATGCAGTTGCCATCACAGCTTGTTTGCTGTGTGAGAAGTGCAGAAATACCTGCACTGGAAGCGAGCCTTACCATTTTGTCTGCAGTTTTCCTTGCTCCGGGTGCGTTTCCTTTGGGCCGGTCGGGATTTCTGCCTTTTGCCTCTACCGGGGAATCCACATCACCCTGAGTGTCAGAGGAGACTCCATCAAACCGATCAGCCGAGCCCCTAATTACAGAGCCGGAGCTTAGA